CGTATACAGGGTGTTAATAAATAGTGGGATCAAACTTCTAGGATAAATAATACTCATTAAAATAAGAAAAAAAATTTATAGAAACTTGGGTCCGCGAATGCTTAGTTTCTAAGATACAGGATGTCAAAGTTTGAATAAAAATCGTTTATTTACCTCAAAAATCCCTTTTCCAATTTTCTTTTTCAAATTTGGCAGGTTTGTTTGTGATAACAAAAGGTATCTTTTGAGTTTTAACTGTAATATGACAATCTGCAAAAATATCAAAGTTATAAAAAAAAAGTGACATGCCATTATTTTCTACTTTTACCAACGTAGTTGTCCTCTGGAGCCCACTGGAATAATTACGGTAAATCTGATTGAATCAAAAGATACCTTACCTACCCAAGTTTAAAGAAATTCGGAAAACGGATTTTTAAAAATCGATTTTTTCAAACTTTGACACCCTGTATCTCGAAAACTAAGCATTTGTGGTCCTATGTTTCCATCAACTTTTTTCTTATTTTAATGAGTAGGTACTATTTATCCTAGAAGTTTGATCCCACTATTTATTAACATTGATATGGCGTCTATTTGTGTTCTGTGTTCTGCCTTCCATGTTTTGTAGAAGATCTGACTGGTAAGTTAATAGATTTGTAGCAGTGGGCTTGTCTTGAAAGAAACCATGTTGAATGTCTGTAATTAGTCCTTCAGCCATCCATGACAATTGCTTACCTACAAGACAGTCAAATACCTTAGGAATAGAAGATTGCATATAGACGCGTCTATAATTTTCTATGTTATCTCTTTTACCACTTTTGAAAATGGGCACAATATTACTAACCTAAATGGATGATTGGAGTGATTTATTGTATAAAATTTGCAAAGGTGACACGTAGTGCATACACATTGTTTTAATACAAAATCTGGTATACCATCAGGACCAGAAGTTTATTTGGTAGGTTCAGAGATTGCATTGAAGATGTCAATCTTTGGGATTTCATAGCACTGTATATTATCACTTATATTATTGTCATGAGTTTCTGGTGTTAGCTATTGTAAATGTTGATTTTTTGAGTAAACTGTTTGAAAGAATTCTTTTAATAGGTTAGCTATATATTGACCATTAGATGCTTACTGATTTCCATATGACAAAGTACTTGGCAAATTATGACATGATCTTTTGTGATCAATATACCTCCAAAAAGATTTTGGGTTATCTCTGAAATTTAAATCCAAACCTCTGATATAATTTTGAAAGCACATGTTAGAAAGTTTTATGCAGTATGAACGTAACTGAGAAAATCTAAGATAATTAGCACTAGTTCGGTCTTTGATGTAAATAGAGTGAGCTTGCTTTTTCTGGAGTGTCAAATTACGAAGATCGGCAGAAAACTATTTGGGAAAAGAAGAAGTTTTGTACCTTTTGAGAGGAATAAATAAGCTATGCCAGTGGATATCATAAAAAATATCAGCTGCTAGCTGCTACATCCACAATAATGCTGGTCGGTGCCAATGCAGTCATCCCAATCTATTGAAGATAAATAATTGTTCAATTCCCTGAAATCACCATTTCTAAAATCATAGGAGAATTCATTGTGAACTAAACAATCTGGTTCAACCTCTTTAGATACTGAAATTGTACATTCATAGCTAATATGATGCATACTCGGCTTACATTTGAAAATACCAAATCACATCTATAGCTATATCACCGCCAGGACATTGCACATTCATCTCATACTCATCATTTGACCAAATTGCACCGGGTAGGTTGTAGTCACCGAACACATACAAATTTTTTGTTGGGTACTTTTGACATACGAAATGTGTTCGACTCACCGATAATGCCAGTTGTACTTCTCCCGAGAAGATTGAGGAGGTATGTAGACACCACCTATTATACATTTACTTCAGTTAATTTCACACTGTACAAAACATTGCTCAACTCGGTTTTCTGTAATCCTGATACACTGAGCTCGTATTTTGATGTTGACAAATATTAAGACGCCACCCCCCACTGGATTAACTGCTAGTCTGAGAATTTAATATTTAGGTTACTCTCGACCGAGACAATAATATCATACATGCAGTAACTTGCAGCAAGCCACATGACAGTTTTAAGAAGATCTGAAAGTTTGGTCCTCAGACCACCTACATTTTGAAAATAGACCTGTAATGGGGCAGTCACATGTTTTTTTGTACAGGTAGGCCATTGCGGTATCTTATTATTTATCAAGTTATTTTCACCTGCAGCCTTTCTACTATCCAGCAATGTCTTTGCTTTCCTATAGGCCTCCTGCTGTATTGGTGTTTGTTCCCTTGAAATGTTGTATGTGGACCCAATCAGCTTATTAACTGATTTGATTGCCAATTTGACAGGATCAGTTGAACCACAAACCACTTTCACAGGTCTTCCTTTGGTAGTGTTACTTCTCAATTTTCCACATGTAAAACTTTCTGGATCAAAGAAAATTCCCCTTGTATACCTAGCTTCTCAAATAGATCGGAGACTTTTGTTTCGTCATAGCTGATGCCTTCTTCGAGATCCAACAATTTGGATTCTGGGATATTATGGGCTCGACCAGCTAGTTGGTTTACTTCATAAATCATAGCTTAGCTTCTATACTGCTATCTTACGATTTCGCCTTTTCTTCCTCCAGTGTCATGACCTGCTGCTTAAGAGTGATTATTTCTTCTTCCATCCTAACCATTTTCTTGACCATAATTGGTACACAAAGCATCACGGCACTCTTGGCAGAAATGCATAACGGTTCGCTTTTGCAGAACCATTGCTCATCATCATCATGTCTATTCATGTTGAACATTACACAGATAATGATCGGTGATGGATGAATCAAGAATAAAAATGGAAAAAAAAGGATACACAATATTAATGAAATTCCCAAAGGTTTTAATGTTTTTTTTGGACAAGAAGAGCTGGCTCTGCATGTTGTGTCCGATTCCAGGAAAAAGTGAATTTCCCTATACACGTCTTATTTTTCTTCAAGAGGCATAGAGACGCAGCTTAGAACAAATACAGGTGAGCCCAGATCAATGAACAAACATTAAGTAAAAAGCTTCCTAGGACTCTAGTTATAGAATTAACCAATCTGCCAATACAAAGTTACGACTTCTAAATCAAACATCGCTAAGTAAGCAGTCTTGCCAATGTTGGAAGTCCATCACAAAGACCATGTATTCTGGACTTGTTCAATAGATAAAGGTTAAGAATACCGAAACTTTCTGATGCCAACGAGGACATTAGCAGAGAAGACTTTAAGGAAGACTTACTAACAAAGGAAAACGACAACTACTCCACATTCAGGCGCAGTTGTTCCAGTGGCATAATCAGCAACTCCAACGAGACTAAAATAAAATAGGTCCTCTTCTCCTTCCGCTTATAGGAGCTGATGCTGACTTACATTCCATTAAAATTAGAAATGCTGACAAATAATAGAAGTCACAAATAGTCTGAGGTCAACACATTCTAAAAAAAATGTGTATCTGTGGATGTTTGAAGTAAAAAGTTTTTTAACAGCTTTCTAACATTAGTTTTGAGTATTAATTATATAAAATTATTAACAATTTTAATGAAAGACTAAAGCAAAAATATCATACCATTTAAAAAGATAGTGCGATTAATTCAAATAAACCTAAAAATTGTTCGCGTTAAATTCCAAATGGCAAACCATACCACAAATGTGACTCCACAAGTAACCGCCCGCGCAACAGACTTATCCAGCTCGTGCTTAGCCAGCCTTCGGGATCGGGATCATGCCAGAAAATAATTGTGTCATCGGCATTTTAAAAGATGTCACCATGAATCCGTCTTGTAAGTAATGATAATAATAATATTATTATGTTTATTTACGGAACCAGCCATTTAACAAATACAATGTAACAATTTGAATTAAAACCTAATTTATTTGAAAAATAATAATAAATAACTTAGGGTATACTAACATCCCAGTAAAACTGTCTATTTTTTATTGCAGTTTTTAGTTGGGGTAGACTAGAATTATACATATCAACATTCGAACAATTCACACGATCTATTTACAAACAATGATCTGCCATAATTTGTTCTATGGTGTACAATCTTAAACAAGTCAAAACTACAGAGGCATCTCTGAGGTAGATTTATCAGAATCATACTTGATAAAGGTGAACAATAAATTCTACAGTTTATAATCTTATAGTGTTTATATCTATAAATTTTCGTCTCTGTTCTGAAGATGGAAGATTAAGTAATTTTTGAATTTCCGAATAAATGATGTGATCCGTGATGTCTATACCATACATTTTATAGGTACAGAACTTCAAAAACTTATGTTGTACTCTCTTTAACCGATTAATATAGGCTTATTGATTAAGTTACCATGAATGACAGTATCAAGTGCCTTTCTAAAATCAGTATAAACTATATCAACCAGGTGAAACGATTCTAGAGACTCAACCAGAAAATTCTCATAAACTAGTAAAATGGAAACCGTAGATCTATTTTTTATAGAACCATGTTGACTTTCCATGATCATTCCATTCAAATGATAAAATAATTTTTCATTTACAATCAATTCGAAAACCTTTGAAACTAAAGAGAATTTAGAAATAGGTCTAGTAATTTAGGTCATTCAAATATATTAAAAATAATAAGAGGCCCAAGACAGACCCCTGAGGCACCCCGGAACCAACGAGCAGTGAGTCAGAGTAAGTACCAGACAGCACACTACGTTGGCGACGACCAGAAAGAGCCAAAGACCCAAACCACGCCAAAACGGTGCTCCTTATACCATAACTCCCTTTTGTTTAGAAACTCGTAACATTCCCTGAGTTCGCGGTCATTGACAGTGGCAAACAAAAAAGGAAATCGGTAATTGAGCGTTGTTCAGGTAGGATTTGTAGGATGATGTGTAAGTCTCACATGAAAGACTTAAAAAAAAACAAACTCTCATCAAAGTAATGCTCTCTCATCTTACTTCATGTGACGCCTAATACATTGACAATTCTATTGTTTTTTTTAGGGCTTCCCCGCTGAATTCTCCATGTACCTAAACTATTGCCGTGGTCTGAGATTTGAAGAGGCTCCCGACTACATGTACCTCAGACAATTGTTCCGTATCCTGTTCCGTACGCTGAACCATCAATACGATTACACCTTCGACTGGACCATGCTAAAACAGAAAGCGGGAGCTGCAGGTACTGGCACCGCTGCTGTGGGACAAGGCCAACCGCAGGCGCAAACGTCGCAGGCTATTGGCACGCACATTCAGCCTGGTAAGAATATGCGATATTTATATTTACATACAGAAACTTAAGTTAATGATAATGCAGTTTTGCCCTCTGGGATAAATTAATGTAGAAATAAATCTAACTTGTCTTGTCTAGTTGATTAAATGTTAAAATCGGGACAAAGTATGCCAAAAATGTATAATCAATATTAAATTGTCCCTAGGGATGTTACATTTGAATGCTCATAATATGTGATTTATTTCTACATTGATTGGAACATATTTTAGTTGTCAGCTTTTGTTTAAAAAGAGTGGGTAACTTGGAGAAGAATCTATAACTTTTTAAAATTTGTTGTTTAAACACACAGAAAGAGGTTGTAATATCTGGCAAATGAAAAACGGACTTTGAATTAAAACAAAATAAAGTCCCCTTTCCTTTTCAGCCACAATGAATCGTGATAAAAAAGATGAAGACAAGAACAAGCAAAATTCTACTAAAGGTACCTTCAGCCAAAGCCAATTACACTCTTGTACTTAAAGTTAGTTTTTTTACAATTTTTTTCAACTGCTTTTTCTGTCTCCATTGTGTTCTCAACAAAAAACGAAATCGTCATCCACATATTTTTTCTACTAAAAATACTCATCTATCTTAAGTATCTACTTTTTCACTTTTGTTATCGTTTAATAATTAAAACAATAAAACACAATATGCATATTTTTCAGTTGTCTGGTGTCTGATTTTTGCATGTAGTTGAAATTTGAATTTGTATTAAATTTTCTCAACAAAACATGTAGAATGTTATTTTAGTCTACATAACATGAATTTAAAAATTACATGACGATTATCTTTATGTGATCTTTATTAGAGTTGACTGTCAAAATATGGGGTGATATCTGCCTCTTTAAAAAAATCAGCTATAAATTTCGTAGCAATCCATTGTTGGTTATTACCAGACACCTTTCCAAGTTAGTCTCAGGCCATAGATAATAAAAATCGATTTGTTGCTCATTGTAATTTTAGGTACTAGAGAATTTTTGAAGTTAGTTCTGCCCCTAATACATTTTTCAGTGTTCACAAATTGTAGAAAGTTGATAGTTTCACTAGATATTGGTTTATTTCTGTCAATTTGTAGCTCTACATAGTTCTACACTGAGATAAAATTACATTCAATATCTGAAACTAACCTATGCATCAATCTGCGTTGTAAAATTTAATTTAAGTTGGGTTAGCTTTGTCTGTAAGATTTTTGTATTCTTGGGCAATAAAGCATATTTACAATCAAACTCGAACACCCCAATTTTTGGTCACTTTTTGTGAGACTATAATTCAAAATCTACCAGGCCGATTTTGTTGAAATTTTCAGGAGTGAGAGGGTGCTATAGTTGTTATTTAATATCCACTTGTTTACAGATTTCCGTCCACCTGCTAAAAGATACAGGGTGTAACATAAGTTGACGAATTTTTTGTGAATGTTTGGCTTCACCCCATTCTGCTGGAGGGAGGGTTGAGTAGATTTTTGGTATTCAGTTTAGAAGATTACCTTAGTACCTCGGGACGGAGATTTTTTGAATATCGCAGCCCACTACGATTTTATCATAAGTTAGGCGATTTTATGTGAAATATAGATTTTGACGTTATTATTTCTTTTCGAAACAAATACTGCATATGGAAACACTTAGAATATATTGTACAGGGTCGTACAAAAATATACAGTGTGTCTATTTTTCTAACCAGAGGAATCTCGGTTATTCTAAAAGATACAAGGTGGGTTAAATTAGGGCAAAGTCTCACTCTTATTTTATTACCACTAAATTGGCGGTTTGAAATTTGAAAAATTCCGAATAATTCCGAAGAAATCCGAAAAAAAAACGAAATTTTGTAAAATTGTTTTAAATTTTTTCGTAGCGCAATTTAATTGCTAATGACATGGCGGTTTAACACTGGCGGCACTGCTTATAGACATTGCAGGTGGTAAACCAAGAATTACTTCTGACCTGGGATGACAACAGAATCCTTCTAACAGTGCGACGAAACAGAACTCGCAATTCTTCACAAATAAGGATAGCGGTAGGAATTGAAGCCTCAAAATCAACAATACAAAGACGTCTCCATGAGAGAAATTTATAAGCCAGAAGGCGAGCAGCACGTTCATTATCGAAAGAAATCCATCGAACAGCACCAATAAACTGGGCGAATATTCATAGATACTGGGGAGTGAGCAGGGCCAGTCCAATAGCTATTATATGCCTAGGCAAAGTTCAATAGACCGATCTCCTATCACCTGGACTGCGCGGGTCGCTTGTAGGCTGTAGGTGAGCGTCCCATGAGAAGCAAGTTTGTGACAGGCTTGCGTCATATTCTTATTCAGGGGCCAGTTCAGAATGAATCGTTCCTTCTTTCTTTGTAACGTGTGATTTGACAAAGAGCAAACTAATACTTTACATATTACTTGAACTCACCGCAGTTTCGTTTAAGGTTATGTTAGATTATATTTGACATATTCCTTTGCAATTTCATTGAGTGATGTTGCCGGATGAAACATTTATCAAAGTGAAAGTGCAAACGATGTTCATCCACTTTAAAGATCTTCTTTTGTCTGATTTAAGGCATGGTAAAACACTTGACACTATATCACTACTTTAATGTTATAATGTTCGATTTGTATTGTCTACATTTGTTCTGCAACAATACAATCTGGCTACACTGCAGCCTACGAGTTGCGCGCGCATGTCATCTTTTATTGCTTTTTAACTTGTATTTATTACAATTAAGCTCTCTTTTTCTAATCATGCGAAATAGGTCTATTCTGGTGCCCCCCTTATCAAATTTTATTATCATAATGGTTAAAAAATAATATGATTAACAATGAATTTTAGGCTATCGTTCAGAAAGTAGGAGAATAGAAAAAAAAAGTAACTTCATTTTTTGAAATAAGTATATCATATATTTACGTATTGTGAGATCTGTTCTCACAGAAATCACAAACCTGTCGGAGTGTTTTTGTTTGGTGCAAATTGCCAGCAACCAGGAGCCGTATTCTTGAATTTCTGGGAGGGGAACTTGCTCAAAGTAGACGTGGTTCACCTCAAAAAAGTACAGTTGCTATCAAAAAAAAGTAGTACAAAAAAAATCTCCAAAATCTCCTGGTCTATTATACATTGATTTAATTAATAACCAAAAAAGATATTTTTTTGGCATTTTTTGACAAGTTTTTAACCTATAAAGCTTCAAATGACATTATTTTGGCATTTTTCCCCCCGTTTTTAACCTAGAATATGTCATCGCCTGAACCCCACAATTTTGAAATGTTTATTTACTGTCAAAATTTTGTATGTTACACCAGGAGCTCAAATTGGGGTTAATAATTTTTGTACTACTTTTTTTTGATTGCAACTGTACAGGGTGGGCCAATTTGGACACTTTCTTATGGAAACACCCTTTATTTTTAGAGATAGAAAAAAATGAACTCCCCACTCTGAGGCCCAAATTTCATGAAATTTTGATTGGTGCAAACCGCATTTTGATATCTTCAACCGTTTAGCCGCTAGAGGGCGATTCTCGATTTTGAGCAATATTCTAAATCCTTCATAACTTTTTTGTTTATGAAAATAATTTATTTCCGTAAAAACTTTCTGGAAGCACTTTTCCGAGCAGAATTCAATGACGTTCTCAGTTTTTTTCTATATGGCGCCGATTTTGAGATATTGAACAAAGTCTGATTTTTTTCAATGGGACACCCTTTATATTATTAGCTCATTCAAAAGCTATGATTTTTCTGATTTTAGTGATATAAAGTTCGATAGGTTTATCTCGAAAAAAAATTATTTTGGTTTTTGTCATAAGAAACAATATGTTAGAAAGAGACCTTTTTCATTTTCCTTACAGATATAAAATCCTTTTCTAACACATTGCTTCTTATGAGAAAAACCGAAATAATTTTTTTTCTCGAAAACGGTTAGAGATAAACCTATCGAACTTTATATCAATAAAATCAGAAAAATCATACCTTTCCAATGAGCTATTAATATAAAGGGTGTCCTATTGAAAAAAATCAGTCTTTGGTCAATATCTCAAAATCTGCGCCAAATAGAAAAAAACTGAGAACGTAACTGAATTCTGCTTAAAAAAGTGCTTCCAGAAAGTTTTTACGGAAATCAATTATTTTCATAAACAAAAAAGTTATGAAGGTTTTACAATATTGCTCAAAATCGAGAATCGCCCTCTAGCGGCTAAACGGTTGAAGATATCAAAATGCGGTTTACACCAATCAAAATTTCATGAAATTTGAGCCTCAGAGTGGGGGGTTCATTTTTATCTATCTCTAAAAAGAAAGGGTGTTTCCATAAGAAAGTATCCAAATTGGCCCACCCTGTACATGTCGTATTCTTGAAAATGGGACTGTGGAGTGAAAGTTCCCGGGAATTCTGAAGTTCCCATCCTCTTACCCAAGAGAAAACGAGTTCCCGTCAGCAGGATTTCTAACCTCAAGACTTGGCGTTGTTTTCGAGCTTGACGTTCTTTTCGTTTGATTGATGTATGTAATTATTTTCTGTCACTTTCGGTTTAACAGGAAATCACTATAACTTCCTTATTTCCCGGTGAATTTTTGCTTAGTTCGGTAGAAAATGACATTCCAAATACAAAAACATCCCATTTTTGACTTTTTGAGTTTTGACCTTCAATTTATTAATTTAATTTAAATTCCAATCTAGAGTGCCATGAGCTCGATAAAACGGAAGATTTTGGATCAAGTAGTCGGGGAAAAAAAGATGTGATTCCCCATTACTTTTTATAGTTTCTACAGGCTCGTTTGAAATTTGCAAAATCGTATTTATGGTCTTAACTCTTTTTTTCAAATGGAATGAAGGTGGAAAGAGTATTTTTTTAGGAACAATTTGATACTACACAATCGATATTTATGAATTTTGATAAAAAAAAGTCCACAATACAGTACAAAAAATATAATAATAAATTATCGAAGATAATATCTCTTAGAGCAGGCGCTACAAGTAGTTGAGTATGCAAAATGTGAGGACCGGCAAAAA